CAAGCCCATCTTTTTATAAACCTCTACAAGTTAATAAAACAAAGGTTGGGGGGGGGGGGTGGAGAACTAGGGTACAAGCCCTTATTTCTACACACAACAGAATATGAATATAATTCTTGACAGCCAATCGGAACAAGCTAACAGGTTTTGCTTTCTTAAGCCTGTAGCAACACCAAAATGCTAATCGACCATGCATTTGAGAATATGCATGAATAAACAATTGTTCAAACAATATTGAATCACAAAAGCATATAAAGTTGGACATTGAATCAACACAAGCCTACTGTGAAAGTATGTATCATCATATGATAGGCTTCTAGGGAACCATGTTGAACATCTTAATCATAAGGATTTCTAAAATTCTTCAAAAGCTCTGGGATTTCGTAACCAAGCATGTCATCTACTGCTTTAATCATTTTAGGCTTCAATTTCTCAAATTCGTCAATGTTGTAACTATTCAGAACTTCCCTGAAGTTCTCCACACTTGGAAAATCACCTGCTGGTAGATGGAACTCCCTTTGGACCTGCTTCATGAAATTCAACTCTAGTCAGCANAACACAAATAATCAAACTTCTGGGACCACTTACATCAACATATAATACAAGACAAAAAAGCAAAAGATAGATCTTTCAACACCAATAGACAATTGAATCCTAAAAATCAAATAATATAATATTCATCTTCATTCAAACACTTATAAAAACTTAGAATCATGACTTACAATATATTTTATCTGGATCCAAAAATTGATCTACAGGTCACAACACCCAAGACATCGTTCTGGTAAGCCACAAGCACAAAAGAACAATTGATTAAGGTAGAGTTTGTGAACAATGGATGAAATCTGATGGGTATTTCTATGAGAAGAGACCAACAATTTTTTTTTTCTTTTTTGAATAAGGAAGAGACGAACAATTGAGCCAATTTACCTTGAAAGAGACAAACAATTGCCATTCCCTTAATTACCCCTAACCTTGTCTCACGTGAGTCATGCGTGCACTTTTCCGTCACAATAAACGACTGAATTGGATGAAAGGACTTGATTGACATACATTGACAAGTTGAGGGGCTTAACTGACTAAAACCATATAGTTTGAGGGCTAAATAAGTAGTTAACTCTAAAATAAGAGAAGGATCGAGTAGTCTAACATTGGAGAAAATAATTTTTTTTTTGTTTGTGGGTTGGAGNATATAGAGAGAGAGAGAGAAGGGTGGACCTTCGCAAATATATTTTCAAGATTATCAATCAGCTTTTGTTGAGTTTTGGCTTTGCCCATCAATGCAGGCATCTCTTTTTTAAGATGGCTTATTATGTAGGCATGGATCTTAGCAGCTCTAGCACGTTTGACAAATTCATTAATCTGCAATCGAGAGATATACCATAAGACTCCCATTAATATCAACAAATATAAACTCATAGCTGTGCACACATACAAACTGATCAAATCAAACATGAAATGAGCATACTCGACGATCACAAGCCTTCTTTGGAATGTCTATCAAGTCTATGAGGAGGTCATCTTGTTCTTTCTCAAAAAGATCCTTTCCCATGGGACCAACAACTGCTTTATTGTCAACCTTGTCATTGAACGAGCTGTAAAATCCAAAAAAAGAGAGTATCTCTCAGTATAATTGGTTGTGCGGATATATTAAGTTGAGGTGACTGATTTTTGGGTACAATTCAAGCTNACTGCTTTATTGTCAACCTTGTCATTGAACGAGCTGTAAAATCCAAAAAAAGAGAGTCTCTCTCAGTATAATTGGTTGTGCGGATATATTAAGTTGAGGTGACTGATTTTTGGGTACAATTCAAGCTATTACCAACATCATTCTGCAATTCAGAATCTATGCATATTGATATAATCATTTATTCATTTGTAACATCAACCGATCTAAAAAACCTGTTAGTAGAAGCAATTCAAGTAATACAACTTAATGACAAATCATGTGACTTCTGCTTAAATAGAATATGAAGATTGGGGAGGGGGGGGATAGAGAATGTTCCCAACTATGCATCTCTTGCAGGTGACTGACTGCACCAACACACAAACATGCATATTTACATAAAATGAAATAGCTAAATACACTTCCAAGAAGCATCCACTCTGTCCGATAAGTAAAGATATATAGCCTGTAATTAAGACAACAGAAAAATAATGGATGAATTGTTAACGACATACCCAATGTAAACGCGCACAACCTCTGGCGTGTTTAAAACTTTTCCCAGTGACCACATTAATGCACCATAAACTCTCATCAACTATAAAATGACAAAGATAAGCTTCAGCTAAAAAAGTTCTCCGACAAATACTTACAATATAAGGAACAAATATGTGGAGAGAATACTAGTCGATTGAGTGGCTGCAAATCTTACTTGTTGGGTGTCAACTTGGTCTGCTTTGTTTAAGACTACACGTATCTTGTCATCATGACCGCGTAAGGATGAAATTACACGCTTGAATTCGTCACTTATATCAAGTTTATGGGGATCAAATAGAAGGAGAATGAGATCACATTTTGCAGCAAACCATGATATAACACCAGTAAAATCATAACTTCTTTGTGTTCGTTGCTTCTCCCCGGATAGAACTCCAGGAGTGTCCACAAATGTGATATGTTCTAGCAACTGTGAGTGAAAACATTATTTTCAGTCACCATGAAATAGAAGTTACATATGCAATATAAGATCAAAGTCACAACTTACAGGATGCGGCATTTGGGAACATTCAAATTTCGATAAAAATGCTCCTCCAAAAGTTGTCAAACCACTAAAAGGCATGTCGGCATGAACGGCAATAGTGTTCCCAGGTATACTCCGTTCATCAGGTCCAGACTAAGTACAAAAGCACAGAAAAATATTTAATTGTAGAGAAAATCAATTTAGAAAAACGGAATAGTTTTGTCAAACCACTAAATGGCATGTATGAATGAATAGAAAAGAAATAAAATTTCAGATAGTGTCATGTCTGCATGAACAGAGGATAAATTTGAAGCAACAGTATTGTAGAATATTATATCAAATTTTCATGTATCAATAATTTTGGCAGATGATAAGATAGCTAGGCAATGTAATAGGGATGGCTTGCATACGAGCATGTGCCTTCAAATGCTTGATATTTAATGCTCTAGCAATGGAAAATAGAAATGACTTATTGCACAAAATTGGATTTTCTCTAGAATATCACAGAGGCACGATGAATACTTGCTATAACAATAGAACATAGAAGGCTGAAACATTGCCATGGTGATGTGTTGACAGACTGCTGAGTACTGCAACTGAGGAAATTCAGATGTCACAGTTCATAGGATTTCATGGTGAGTTTTTGCTACAACTGTGTACATTATGAAGCATTGCTCTTGAGAAGAAAGAGGTTTCCTGTTGTTTCCCCATGTGTAATGCTTACTTTTCATATCCATAAAAATCCAATTTATTGACCATTACAAAAATTCTTCAGACTAATTAATATTTAAAAATGGTAAGGCAATATTCAACAGCTTGCTGTTACCATAACAACAATAAATCGGTCAGTGGTTGGCTCCGGTCCGATGTGAGATCCTATACCAAAAAGGGAAATCGGAAGTTAGGAAAAAATTTCATCCACAAGCAATATCTGCACATTGTAAGTAAAACAAAACAAAAAAAATCACCAACCTGGGTAATTGCATTTGAGCAAATGGTTTATGAATGTTGTTTTTCCAGTTGAGTACTGACCCAAAAGCATCACCATGGGTTTGGCATCAAAATCACTATTTACCTGAAAATGGCACAATCATAAAAAAAATCCATTAAGATATATAGAGCTTTCCGTCATGAAACACCCCAAAGCATATACATGTATAACAGAAACATAAAGACTAAACAACACATGAATTTCATGGCAAACACAAAAAGATATGTTTTTGGTTCACTCACCAATGAAGGAGATACAAAATCATTAAAACGGTAAGTAACTTCCAATGGCTTTAGCTTTTCCATGTACAACCTCTTCAAGCCATCAATCACTGAAGTTACCGCATGGATAGAAGTCTGGGCCTAGAGAGAAGATGTGGTAGAAAATGCACACGGCGAGAAAAGAAAATCAGACATGTTATTTCTTAAATACATATACATGCGCAAGGGAAACTGAAAGAGAAGCAGATCTGTGAAAGAAAAGTTATTGCATTAGTTCAAACTATAAGCTTGACAAGTCATATGAAAAAGTCCTCCCACTATTTTCATAATGCATAGGGATTGCATAACTATGAGACAAATGCAAATAACAATATTTGAAAAGAAAAAACTCATGAAATTCACAAAGCAAATCTTCATGTTATTAGCTCAATAAAGAAAAACCACACCTTCTTGGTAGTTTTCGAGATAAACTGATTAACTGATGGCAATGGTTGTGGTTGAGTAAATCCTACATTATTTAGAACGAGACTAGTCAATCGAAGTGAACTGATCAATGTAAATTTTACATTACACAATGAGATGATGAGAAAGTAAACTGACCATTTGCTTCGGACTTGCCATTTATACCTGCAGCCTTACTCTTCTGGAGGAAAAGTGCAAGAACATCAAACCAATAAAAGCAAAAATTTTATTCTAATTAACTTCAAAAGGTAAAATCAAGATAAATACATACAGATAGGACAACATCCAATCCTTCCATCAATGGAGGTTCCAAAGGCTCCATGTTATCTGTAATATGAAAAAAATGGCACCAACGTAAGAGAAACAGCAAAATGCTATATTTTGAATAGGGTAAAGCATAAGCTCCAAATAATCATGGGACAAGGCTCGTCTCGAAGTAAACGATAATTTTAAGAGGTCCAGATCCTAAAAATCCATGCCTTATCTCTTGACACTGACTATACATAAGTCTTAGTGGCAATTATTTTTTGTTAGATTTTGTTCTGAAACTTTCTTTAGCATCAATAAAAAAGAAAAAACAATCACAAGAATTGCCTTACTAATTAAGGGATTTGCACTCTCTAAAGTCTAATCCATGAAAATTTCACAAGACTTCTTTTCAAATGTCAGGTATCTGATGTAATTAGTAATGAAAAAATTAATTGCAACATTTTCTTGCACTTAATATATTTTTCATCATAATATGTTTGCAGGTTCTTGTTCAAAAGTTTTCTGAGTTTGCTCAAGGTATTCATGGCTTAGAGTAGAGTGATATGCCTGGCTATTAGTTGTCATGCCTCAAGTACGGATAGATCTTAATTTCAGACAAGCGAGATTAAGGTTTAAACCTTATGCTCTCATGCCTCATAATAATGAAGCCTCATTTGATGCCTTCTCCTTTTATGAGGCATTGATGGGATGAACAATTGTGCAACCAAGTTCAAAAAAAAATATTACCCAAGGTATGTTTCAAAGTGCCAAATCCTGTTCAGAACTATATGTGCTGCCAAATACAAATACCATATGAATAATGAACAAATATAATACAAGTTCCACTTGCCCTTTGTTTTAAGGATATCTGGGGTTAGTTCATGTCCTGCTTGTGCCAAAGATAGCAACTGCCATTAAAGCAACATTACCAATATTAGAATCTTCAGAATTTATTGATATCAAGTGCAACAGATATGATACAATGCATACTAACCTGCATTGCAGTAATGAACTCCCTAAAACCTAGAAACCCTTGTCGTTTGGAATCTGCAACTGCCCAGACCTTAAAAAGCAAAAAAACATATAAATAAGAATCAGAAGAAAAACAAGAAAAAAATCCAGCCAGCAATGCAGACTGTTCAAAAATAAATAGACCTAATGATGTCCTATTAGTCAGAAAAGAAAGCTCCAAGGTACTAGACAATTAGATAGGTAAAACAGATGACAATCGTTAGAGAAAACTCAACATTTATCTCACACACAAAAGTTAACAAGAAGAAAATCACAAGGATGATCATCATTTAATTTCTCATAAACTTACCATGAAGATGTTACTCATTCAAGAGTTCCTATCAAAAAACACCATATATACAGAATATTCCACATAACAGTATCACCTGCTTAACGTAGGAAAGTGAAACACTACGCCCCCAATAAGGAAAAAAAGCTTTCAAATCCGNTTCCTATCAAAAAACACCATATATACAGAATATTCCACATAACAGTATCACCTGCTTCACGTAGGAAAGTGAAACACTACGCCCCCAATAAGGAAAAAAAGCTGTCAAATCCAGAGATAAAGTTCAGAACTTTATCAACAATTCCTTTTCATTCAGATAATAAAAACCAACCCCTAGTATTCACAAATAACTGATCTAAACCTACTCAAAAAACTCACCCCCTCTCTATATGAATCACGTAAAATAAAACTCAAATTCATCACAAAACACTGATAGAAGTCAAAAATGATTACGTTCATGAGAAACTGTTAAAAATTGCCTACGCAGACGCAAAATAAATGCAGCACTATCAAAAGCAATAATATGACTGGATTGATCAGTTAATTCTTCAATTTAATCAGCATATCAACCCTACGCGTCTTCACCAGAAACCATATCAGATATGCTCTTCTCAAGCATAAAGACTAATAAAATCACACATACACGATCAAATCAGATTTTGTTTTACCTGCTTGAGTTCTGATCTAGACAAATTCGACATTGCGAAGAACTTTGTGGCGTCATTTCCGGTAATACGGCCATCTCCATCTACACAGAGAGAAGCAAGTACACACGCACATAAATATATATATCTATACATAGATAGATAGAGAGAGAGAGAGAGAGAGACAGTGAGTGAGTGTATGATTTCATCAAAAAACAAGTGTTTGTTGAAGATACATTGAAGAAGAAGAAGAAGAATAAACCTGCATCGACGAAGTTAAACCATTGTCGATAGATTTTCTGATGTTCTTTCGAACACGAACTTATCGGACCTGATACAATCTCCATCTACGAAATCTGATGATGATGATAGAGCGAAAGTTGAGACTTTCTTAGATTTTGAAATCTTTGTAAGAGGGAATTTTTCTTCTGTGGTTTGGGACAATTTATAACTTTGGCGCTTGGAAAAACAACGAAACGATGTCGTTTCTTCTAAAATGAAAAGCACCAGGATTTTAATTGGGTTTTTATTGCCAATGAGTTTTCAAGTTTTTTTATTTTTTTATTGTGAGATCTTTTCAGATAAATAATAGACTTATTCCTATGTCAGAGAAATTGATTTTCGAATTCAAAATTGAGACTTAAATTTGGACCAATAACTATTTATCATTGTTCTAAATTCAAGTAATTTATAACAACTTTGCCACTAAATATCAATTTTTTTATTTTTTATTATGAGGTCGTATCAGATAAATAGTGGACTTATTCCTATGTCTGGAGAATTTGATTTCGAATTCAAACTTGCACCTGAATTTGGGACTAATGAATATTTATCATAATTCTAAATTTGATCTCTAATCTTTTGTTTCTGAGAAAAATATAAAATATTTTTCACTTTTATATTCTTCGTAAATGGTTATTAAAATGGGTAATTTTTATTAAAGAATATTAATAAAAGAAAATTGATTTAGCCTCAGCCTATCCTAACTGGATAAGGATAATAATAAAGAATCCTTCTTTGTATCAATCACAAAGTATGAAAAATTATATTGCAGCGCCACGAGAATGAGATGATAGCCACTAATTAGGATTAGACCCCACTAAATAATGCTTTCAATCACATTATCAAGAGTTGGGCCATGAGGTAACAGACCCATGTAGTCAAATTGGTATCCTAACCTTTTTCTGAAAATAATGAGTCAAGGTTCAATCGAGATCATTATTGATAAACTTTCACACTTACTCGTGAAAATTGAATTATCAAAAATCTATTCAATCATGTTACTCTTGTTGGATTATTGATGGGGTGGGAAAGGTGGAGCTATTAATGACAGGATTGATTGATTTGAATAAGAATGGGAAAGTGATCAACCGACACAATTCGATTATTTTTTATCAAAAAATTGTATATGTTTGATTATCGGAGAATATCGACTAAGAGATATGATAAAATAAAATATTAAAACATTTTCCTGATATACATCAAATTCAATCATATTTTGTACTTCATAGATGCATTATCAGCAATTTGGTTCATTTAGATTTGGTAATTTATGCAGCTAATTATATCATAAACATCAAAATTACACAATTTTTGAAATAATGAGAAAGGGAAAATGGCATGAAAAAAATAGTCTGACTGACCATTGGTCCCTCCTCTCTCCATATAGCTTCATCATTTTTCCAAGGTGGGTCTACATTCCCAGTTGCAAAAGGTAGTAAAATAATTATGCTACCCAACAAAGAGTGTTAACCAAAAGACTAGGTGATTCAACCATACAAGGTAAATGGGTCCCTGATTTTTGAATTTGAATCTCAAAAAAGGTTGCAAGTCATCAGATTTAGATCCCTCTGAGTACATTTTCTTGAAATTTTTCCTCAATCGTACACGATTAATCATAAATTCAAATGAGACCCACTACAAAAATGAATCCTCAACAGAGAAATCGTAGATGAGCTAATGTTGAAGGAAGTATACTGAAAGAGATCGGAATCTGCAAGTCAAGATGACTAATTGTGTAATCTTGGCAATAGCAGATATTTTTCTTTCCAAGACTGTTTACCCATCTTTCATCTTAAATGTTCCCTTGTTCTTTCTCCTCAACAATGTGTGTACAGTAATACAAAAATTTACAACTACTGCGGTAGGAGTCTTGTCAAGACTTGAACTCCTCCCAGACAGTGACTCGCTATTTTTGTGCATTCTCTTGTCAGATGGCAAGGTTGTTATGCCACAGACATGAATGAATACATTTACTTACCCAAAACAAATCTACTACTACTAATGGTGCAGAAGATCTATTTATTTTGGTGAAAAAGCAAATGAATATAATTCATAAAGAATAGAAATTGCAGTTCGAAAATAGTTTGTCAATACATTGAGTAAAAACCCAAAGATGATTATGCTTCTCCAATCTTAGACCCAACATAAGCAAACCAAAGCCACACAGATCATTCTCTTGCACTTCAAAACAGACAGCAACATGTCTGCATAACGGTATAATAACAAAAATATTAGACGGAAGCAAAATTCAAGCAACTAAAAGTTAAATAATAGTGTCATTGTCCCCACTTGATTGTTGAGAAAATAAGTGACGAATGCAAGCTCAAAAAGAAAAAGGAAATTGCAATAACTTTGAAATTCTATCCTGACCATTTACCAGGGTCATGTTACTCAACAGAGCACCGTGTTTAGATTTTCAAACTTCATCATTGACTAAAACGGTCATTGTGAAAAAAGTAAACCAATATTCATATATCTCGGATTGATAATTAGCTCAAAACCTCACTCACATTCATACCTTTGAGCCTGTTTGTTTTTTCTCATTGTTTGAATAATTGCTAGGTTGAGGAGGAATGGGCAACTTGGCAGCTGCAATATGTTTTTCCTCTTTTACTTTGTTGAATATGACTGTAAATCCTTCTGCTGATTGAGGGTCTTGTTCATCCCAAGCCCCAAATTTGGGTACCGATGCTGATCTACAGGACTGCCAGCAAAATAAAACTTAGTCAATGAGATGTTATTAGTCATATGAGATGTTATTAGTCATAGTTCCAGGAATCAATGAAATTGATGTATGCAATTTAGGAAAAACACAAAACACATTTCCATCAATATAAACCTCCAGAAAGTCCAATTAGCTAAATTGTTATCAGTAATCAGATTTCCTAAAAATGCAGTCAATTGGCAGTGATTTCATGTCTGTAAAGCCTTCTGTGGCCAAACTTCTGTAAAGTCTTTACCAACTACACAAGCTGATCATTGACCTTTAATTGATTGGGACTCCAGCAAAGTCAAATGTCTTCAGTGTCAGCTCTAAGTTGCAGACACCAATCTCACTCACCCATTTCCTTATCGCATATGATACATGTGCATAATTTATGAAAATCAAACAAAATGCAAAACAGAAGTCAAAACCCAAAAATATATGCATGGTAGTTAATCTTCTGTCCGTTATTAATGTCTATTTTGTTTCTCCGATGCCACGACAATGTCTTTCTGGATTGGATAGTAATGATACAACAAACTTTTTATGTCATCATGAACTTTTTGATCCACTACGCAGTTCTACACAATTTAGTTCATATTTATTTTCCATGCATCAAATAAATGCCAAAAAATAGTATTAGTAGCTTTCTTCTCTTTTTTTCTGAATCTTTGATAACTGAAAGTGGGAAAAACAAACAGGCTACTCGGAGAAAAGGGCATCTTTCCAAAATTTGGGAAAAACGCTTTATTCATGGAGGAAAATATGAGATCAATAAAAAAACAACTGGTGGTAACCAAGGAGGCTTCATCTTATCCAATTAAAAATTGAATTAACTTCTTTCCTTTTCCTTTCCTGTGAAGGCTTTCTCTCTCTCAGGGTGTGTCCCTGTTACCCACATTCAAGCATTTTCTCTATTATTATTCTGTGGGTTTCATAATCATTTACTTTAAACAGTTCATACTGCCAAAGAAATTTTCTGCTTGTCAATGATCGCCCTTTAACATAAAATTCCAATTATCAATGGAGAAGATTCACTTACAATATCATCATATGGATTACTTTGACCTCTCGGTCTATTAGGTCCTGGTGATGGCAGACAGAATCTACTGTTATCCTCAGTCATACTCTTCTTTCGGTCAGCTCTCGCATGGCGGTGGTTTGCCTGCAGGAGAGAATAATCAGAATTGCTTTTATCACTTGCAGATTCGGAAGTCATGCTCTTCTGAGTCACACTCATTTGATGATCAGAAGTGTTTCTTTGGTGACCATATTTCTGCTTGTGCCCCTCCCTTAGGTATTTCTCTGCTGATTTATCAGGATTGACATGGGCAGGAGATTGAACAGCATGAAAAACACTATCGCTTCCATCTCCCACTCTTCCAAAATTGAAGGCCTCTGGATTCTCCTCAGGATCATTTGGATTCATCTTCACTCCACCAGCTTTGTCTTTGCGTGCATTCTCAAAGTAGGCCGTGTAAGGTACATTATCACCATCCCAGTTTCCAAACTTTGGAACATGTGATCTTTGCTGCAGCCAAATCATTAAAAAGGATAGTAATCCAAAAAGATTCATAACACATACTCAAACAAAGAGTTGGAGAGAATCACTAAAGCATCAATTTGTGCGAAACTTTTATACTCAGGGTATCAAGTCAAATATGAGAAAAAATGGGTTAGAGTAACATAGAAAAAGTAGTAGCTTTGGGTGGTCACTGATATTCTTTCATAATCATACACGAGAATGGCCCCCCTTTCCAAATAAACGTGTGAACTCCAGCCCAATTAATGAATTATGAATGTGTAAGGCAACAATAAACAATTACTGTCAAAGCAGCTTTATATTTTTATGAATTTTAGGCCAGTTAATCGCAGCATAAAAACAAAAAGAGAGTGCAAATAAAATGATTAGTAAAGATAATATTTGAGAATCTCAGAGTTTCTCTGAGTGGACATTAGAGTCTAGGTGAGGATCAGTCCATCCAGATACAATAACAGGTTGCTCAAACAGGGAAATAGTGCTTCTCTGCAATTGAGGGTCCATTATTACAAGAACCTTCAATGATTTTCAGGCAGCCCAAGAATCATCCACGGGACAATACATACTTTGTGTGAGAATGTAAAATACATTCTTGCTGCTGAACAGAATGGTATTGGGTTGACACAAGGTGAATTTTTTGGTAATGCAAGAGACACTCCATTTCTCTAAGAAATTACCTCATCTAATGCCCAAATTATTAACCCAAAGGCAACAAGATATGAGTAAAGCCAGATAAATTTAAACACGTTTGCTCGTACATGGGTCACATTTCTTTAGCACTTTCTAACAGATTGTTTAATACTTGTATCTCTAATAAAAGCAATTTTCCAAACATAACTATTTTTTCATGACTAGTTTGAACTTTGAAAGTACTCATGGTGCATTCTGAAGGCAGGTGAAAAGGATGTTGAAAATCACAGTGATGTTGAAAAGGATGAAGACAGGTGAACATGTTTTTTTTTTTCTTGTTTAAGGCCTGTTTGGCATATAATTACAATGAAATGTCTTTGACAATTTGGGGCAATAATTTTTTAGCGCAAACTGTAGTAGGTCATGAAAAAATGCATCTAAAATAAATTCGTGCCCATATTGACAATTACTCATATACACAACCTTATGCTCATAAATATTTGCATTATCACAAAGCTAGCTGCACACACACACCATGAAATTCTCTGAGAACATAATACAAATACACTTCATGCAAAACCAACATCAAAATAAAGCAAATAAAACACAATAGTCGAATACCCAGGTACTCAGAATCACAAATGAACATATTGCGAAGAACAACACTTACAGCCATCAATCAGGTGCGTTCTTCCTCGTCTTCTTGATTCCTGACACAAACCTTTTGAACTCCATAGAAGAAGAAGAAAGAGAACCAAGAAAACCCCAAGTTTGCGCGTGGGCCCAGCGGTCTTGATCTTCCCGGAGATCCCAATGTAGTTGGAAATGCTACAGACAATGATTCGATGATTACAATGCTTGAACGTTAATATAATAAATCTTTGAGGTAGCAAAGTGGCGTCTTGATCGGTCTGTTCTTGTCCAATATTGAGGAATTGCTCGCAGGACTGTAACTACGAATGGGTCGTTTTGTCGCGTCGCCGGCGACATTCTCTACCTCGTCTTTGACTATATAGCCCATGTAACCCATCTATACTTCTCTCACTCATTCAAATAAGCATCACCGAATATGAAACCTACATGTCACTCATTCAAATAATTACATTATGTAAACTAGCAATACTATGGGGTCATTTTGTTCATTTATTTAATGTTTAACGATTATATAAGTGTTACACTAATGGTATATTTGGTTAGAAAGATGAAAAATATAAAAGATAAAAAAATGGAAGAATGAAATTTTCATCCACGACGAAAGAAAATTCTTTTTCTCTTTATTTTGTTTGGTACGATATATGAAAAGTTGGAAGGAAATTTTTTTCATTGTTTGGTATTAGAAGAAAATGAAAAAAAAAATAAAAATAAAATTTTTAATTTACTATTATACCCTTAAATAAGAAAATAATTTTTACAATTATATAAAAGTTAAAAGCATTAATTTGCTATATTATCAAATAAACATATTTCAACAAATTAATATTTTTAATTTGACCCGTATAAAAAAATGTAATTTCAGTTGGACAAGTAAAAAATATAAATAATTTTTTGTAGTGTTTAAACATGGAAGGTGATTCTAGAATGTACTGAAAGGTTAAAAAAAATAAAAAAAAAGGTTTCGGTTACTTTATTACATAAATACATTGATTTGTATAATAAATTAGAAAAAACAAAGCACTTGGAGGGTATTATAGTAAATAAGCTTAGCCCACCACTCAAAGGCATCCTCTCTCAAGCTTTTCACCCAAAAGTGGACAGATTGAAAATCGTGGGTGGAAGTAATCATGTATCCTCCCAACTTTCCTTTCCATCACCTTTTCCTTTGAAATCAAATAATGAAAAAAAATTTCTTCCCTTTCATTTTTCACCCTCCACTTTTCATCCAATCAATTTTTCAGCATACCAAACACACAGTAAAAATTTATTTCATAGTTAGGGATAAGTTTGTCAAAATATAATCCCACTCGCTACCACAACACAAACGTAATATAAAATTACAGATTTACGACATGACTCATATTTCAATTATATATATTTATACACGACATAATATTAATATAACAGATTTTTTAAACATAAATTAATAAATAAATCAGATATAAGTGAAATATTTTTTATAATAAACCTAACATAAACTCGACTCACCCGATATAATTGACATGTCTAATTAGGTGCAGCCATGTTATACGGAACGGGCACTCTTTAATTTTTTTAAGTAAGACGGCGAGGTTTGGGCGATCAAATGTGTATTTTAGTTGATTGTTGAGTTTGATCTTATATACTTTTTTTTTTCTCTTTTAGACTTATATAAAATTATTTTTATTGAACTTATTGGTGACCCTTGCCTCTAGCCGCCCATGGGACTCAATGATCAATTGCGTCCAAAGTTGAAGTCTAAATGAGTTTTTGGATTGGACGTCTTCATAGTTTTAGAATTAAGAGTTAATTGTATTAGAGGTCTTAAAAATATAAAATTTGTCTTATTTTGATCTTTCATGTTTTAATTGTATCATTTTAGTTATTGAAATATTGAATATGTTTCTTTATGATCCCTCAAGCAAACAATGTTTAGATTACTAACGATTTTTTATCATAAACTTATCACGTGATACTTAAATATAGACAAAAAANGGGGGGGGGGGGGGGGGGGGGGGGGGGGGGGGGGGGGGGGGGGGGGGGGGGGGGGGGGGGGGGGGGGGGGGGGGGGGGGGGGGGGGGGGGGGGGGGGGGGGGGGGGGGGGGGGGGGGGGGGGGGGGGGGGGGGGGGGGGGGGGGGGGGGGGGGGGGGGGGGGGGGGGGGGGGGGGGGGGGGGGGGGGGGGGGGGGGGGGGGGGGGGGGGGGGGGGGGGGGGGGGGGGGGGGGGGGGGGGGGGGGGGGGGGGGGGGGGGGGGGGGGGGGGGGGGGGGGGGGGGGGGGGGGGGGGGGGGGGGGGGGGGGGGGGGGGGGGGGGGGGGGGGGGGGGGGGGGGGGGGGGGGGGGGGGGGGGGGGGGGGGGGGGGGGGGGGGGGGGGGGGGGGGGGGGGGGGGGGGGGGGGGGGGGGGGGGGGGGGGGGGGGGGGGGGGGGGGGGGGGGGGGGGGGGGGGGGGGGGGGGGGGGGGGGGGGGGGGGGGGGGGGGGGGGGGGGGGGGGGGGGGGGGGGGGGGGGGGGGGGGGGGGGGGGGGGGGGGGGGGGGGGGGGGGGGGGGGGGGGGGGGGGGGGGGGGGGGGGGGGGGGGGGGGGGGGGGGGGGGGGGGGGGGGGGGGGGGGGGGGGGGGGGGGGGGGGGGGGGGGGGGGGGGGGGGGGGGGGGGGGGGGGGGGGGGGGGGGGGGGGGGGGGGGGGGGGGGGGGGGGGGGGGGGGGGGGGGGGGGGGGGGGGGGGGGGGGGGGGGGGGGGGGGGGGGGGGGGGGGGGGGGGGGGGGGGGGGGGGGGGGGGGGGGGGGGGGGGGGGGGGGGGGGGGGGGGGGGGGGGGGGGGGGGGGGGGGGGGGGGGGGGGGGGGGGGGGGGGGGGGGGGGGGGGGGGGGGGGGGGGGGGGGGGGGGGGGGGGGGGGGGGGGGCGCTTATTGTCAAAGAAGAATAGGAATGAAATCTCATAATCATGAAGAAAACTTTTTTTTTTCTATTGAATTTATTATGCATAAGATAATAGTTACTACACATATATAGAAGCCTTTGCCAAGAGCAACAGAAATGTTGTAACATCTTGGCTTTCATATTTGATGTTTTGCTATTGCTAGCCTATAGCTTATTCTACTTTGTCGACATCTTATATCCTCACTCCTCAGAATCTCCACCGTTCATCAAATGCTGCAAAAAAAAAAAACCAATGAGTTTTAACGATTTAAGTATATTAAAAAAAAAGATTAATATATGATTTATGCATAAATGAAATATAAAGTGGAAAGGCAATACTAAGTGATAGAAGAGCAGGGATCCACTCTTTTTCCTAATCAAAGATCAACCATTTGTCTCTGTGTTTTCACATCGAGAATTATTTGTAGATGAAGAGATGTCAATTGTGGAGTTAACTTATGACTTCTCCGAATAGATGAATGGGTCTCCGGTTGCTTCCTCCATTCCAACCAATGAACCATTAGAATTCGTTTTCAATATTGATACTTATTTTTACTTAGACAGATTGTGGTTTATGTTCAATTCTTTTCCATAACTTGAAACAAAACAAAAATTTCATTGGTTTAATGAAAAATACGTTTTGGTCCTAAAGTTTCAAATGAATGTTATTTTAGTCACTACAATTTCAATCTCGATGCAAAAAACCCTTGATCTTCAAATTTGTGTCAAATTGATCAAATTTAATAACCAGTGTTAGCCNTCATAGAATAGGAGGTTCGAGTGATGGTGGATTGGTAAGAGAGAGAGAGAGGGGGGGGGTGTCTTGTCATTTTCAAGGGGTTAGAATATGAGTAATGTTATTTAGATTTAAATTTTGTATTGATCAGTTGATCTAATGACATGATTTCATCGTAACCTCTGAATTAGCATCAAATTCTAATGTATGCTAATGACCTNAAACCCTTGATCTTCAAATTTGTGTCAAATTGATCAAATTTAATAACCAGTGTTAGCCAATTCGACGTAAATAGTTAAGTGACTCGGAAGACATAACTCGTATTTAAGGGCAATGAGGTTTGATTGCGTCTACGTATGTAAGCCATTTATAAATTGCACGTATAGTACGTGACTAGTTTTTTTTTTTTNTTTAACCATATCAGTTGAGAAAATCGCTAATAAGTCTTAACTTTTTCCCAAATAAAAATCTATAAAGTTTTATCATGTTTGTCTTCGGACTTTTAATTATTTGTTCTCAAGAAGTTCTAAACTCCAATAATGGTATGTTTTGTATCATTTTATCCTTCCTATAAACGCANAAAAAAAAAAAACTACTAGTGATTAGTATTGAGGAATCTAGATTCCAACCAATACTTTTGTTTTTAATTTCTCTCAAAATTAGATGACTCGCCTTATATTAGTAGAAAATCCACTTTGAAAGTCTTCATCGCAACTAATTTGTAAATGCTTAAATCAGTTTTTTAATGAAAAAGATGATGTTTTGACAAGAAAAAGAGTTTTGATCTCTCTCTTATGAGTGGAAAAGCTTTTTTAATGNAATCCACTTTGAAAGTCTTCATCGCAACTAATTTGTAAATGCTTAAATCAGTTTTTTTAATGAAAAAGATGATGTTTTGACAAGAAAAAGAGTTTTGATCTCTCTCTTATGAGTGGAAAAGCTCTTTTATTGANTTAGTAGAAAATCCACTTTGAAAGTCTTCATCGCAACTAATTTGTAAATGCTTAAATCAGTTTTTTAATGAAAAAGATGATGTTTTGACAAGAAAAAGAGTTTTGATCTCTCTCTTATGAGTGGAAAAGCTTTTTTAATGAAAATTTCAGGTTTTGACAATCAGTTGTTCATAATGAATTCACTTCGATTACTAGCAAGTGATTTACCATTAGATAAAATTGTAGGCAATCATTCTCCAAGGGATCCAAATCAGTGTGTGTGTGTGTGTGAGAGAGAGAGAGAGAGAGGTTACTTGTTGCAATTGATATTTGGGTCAATGGCTACTGGGACCTGGACCTTGCAAAGGTCAGGAAGTTCCTTAGCCCTATCAACCTTAACCCCCATGGCTGGTGCAGCTTTCTTAAAGCATTCACACAGAGACTGGCGTTCTGGTTTGGAAGTAGCAATTTGGTTCAAAGCCTCAACACTCTGGCAACAAGGAACACTAACAGACTCAGCAGAACCCACCAAAAATGGCTCACAAGGCAACAGTTTGACTAGGGCATTTTGACAAGGAATTGCATTCACTGGACCTGCAATCACACCCAAAACCACCACCAACCCCAAAATGCACACCGAACAACCTATCACCTTTCCCCCCATAACTTGCTTGGAAGAGAGAGAGATAGAGATAGAGATAGAGATAGCTAGAGAGATAGAGAGAGAGAGAGAGAGAGATAGCAAGATAGATGCTTGTTGGGTTGGTGTTACTGTTGTCACCCTATTTATAATGCATGCAANTTTTGACAAGGAATTGCATTCACTGGACCTGCAATCACACCCAAAACCACCACCAACCCCAAAATGCACACCGAACAACCTATCACCTTTCCCCCCATAACTTGCTTGGAAGAGAGAGAGAAAGAGATAGAGATAGAGATAGAGATAGAGATAGAGATAGAGATAGAGATAGCTAGAGAGATAGATAGAGAGAGAGAGAGATAGCAAGATAGATGCTTGTTGGGTTGGTGTTACTATTGTCACCCTATTTATAATGCATGCAATGACCCTACATGAGATTTGGATCGGTGGTTTTCAAATCCATGCTTAGCACACAGTTTAATTACATGTTGAGGTAAGAACAAAATTAATTTGGATTTACTCCAATGCATTTATTTCAATTGTGAGGAGGGAGTTTGATTTAGTGGTGAAGTTGTTTGATTTTAACCTGATTATTTCGGGTTCGAATAACAAAAGCATCTTCTTTTCGTACAAATTAAAACAATATATATACTTTTACTGGATACTTTATTATTCTTTTCTTTTTTCAAAAGATTTTGTATCAATAATTAATCAAATTGAACTCGAGAACAATGAAGGGTGAACAATCAAGTATTGGGAGAAAATTAAAGGAAGTGCAATGAATGGGACTTTTCTTTTTTTCTTATTTGGTTACAAAGTNACAAAAGCATCTTCTTTTCGTACAAATTAAAACAATATATATACTTTTACTGGATACTTTATTATTCTTTTCTTTTTTCAAAAGATTTTGTATCAATAATTAATCAAATTGAACTCGAGAACAATGAAGGGTGAACAATCTAGTATTGGGAGAAAATTAAAGGAAGTGCAATGAATGGGACTTTTCTTTTTTTCTTATTTGGTTACAAAGGGTTTAGACTTATGTCGACCGCAATAAATTATGATAACAATGAATTAAATTTTTTAGCGTTCCAATTGGTTGAGTAGATACCACCATTTATTGAAATTGTTTGTTAGGCATATTTCCAATTAGTAGGTTAGGAAAAAAGCACTAAAAAGTTAAGGAAAGAAATAAAGCTAACAAATGAGGTAGATTTATCGAGGCGGAAAGGTCTTCTCTCTTTTGTATTCAAGTAATGTTATTTAAATCTAAAAATTTAATCTAATTTATTAACTTAATAATGTGATTTTATTAAAATAATTGGATCAACACTAAATTTTAATATTTGATAGAGCTCATAGTCAATTCAAATATTATGGTGAATTAAGTCAACAAATTAGATCAATTAATTACGTTCATTCATATTTGAACCTCTTCCTCTTCATAGAATAGGAGGTTCGAGTGATGGTGGATTGGTAAGAGAGAGAGAGAGGGGGGGACGGGTGTCTTGTTATGTTCAAGGGGTTAGAATATGAGTAATGTTATTTAGATTTAAATTTTGTATTGATCAGTTGATCTAATGACGTGATTTCATCGTAACCTCTGAATTAGCATCAAATTCTAATGTATGCAAATGACCCACAGTCAGTCTAAGGGTTATAGTAAATTAGATTAACAAATTAAACTAATAAATTATGTCCAAATAACATTATTTTTATAATATATACCATTTTTGTCTTTTAACCATATCAGTTGAGAAAATCGCTAATAAGTCTTAACTTTTTCCCAAATAAAATCTATAAAGTTTTATCATGTTTGTCTTCGGACTTTTGATTATTTGTTCTCAAGAAGTTCTAAACTCCAATAATGGTATGTTTTGTATCATTTTATCCTTCCTATAAACACACAAATTATATATTTGTTTATAATTTGATATCCAATTTTATTTATTGGAATATCATTTTTTTGTATTTTTAAATTAAGATAAAATAAAAATCATACCTTTAATTATCAAATCATGCACCCTATTGACGTATAAGATGTCACATGCAAGTGAATACTACATAGCGTAATTTATTTATCTTATCTCTTAAATACAATGTTCATAGCTTTGAATGCTTGAATTTTTTTTTTTTTTTTTTCGGTATGCCTTAAAACAGTAATTCTTTCTAATTAATTCAAAATGTGGAAGGAGAAGTTAAAAAAAATGTGAAATTAGATGAACACGTCTCAATAATTGTATTCATAGATTTAGTTTCTATGTTTTTTTATTTATATAAGGTATATGCCTTTATGGTTGAGATTTAGGGAAAATAGAATTGTATACCTCTTCATTTCTATATGTATTTATTATTAGATTTATGTGTTTAGGATGTCATGCATTTAATTAGAAAACATTATTTTTAATTTGCTTTTCCGACACCACTAAATTAGTAGAAATATAATTGGTGTGTTTATGGGAAAGATAAAATTATAACACAACATATTATTGATGGAGTTTAAGATTTCTTGAGAATAAATTATCAAGAGTACAACTTAATTGTCTTAAGTTAAATATGATAGAATTTAATGATTCTTTATAGAAAAAAGAATCAATATGGAAAAAAGTATGACTTATTGATGATTCTTCCCATCAATTTTGGAGAAAAAACAACTATATATACAAGACTTCCGTTATTACAGAGTTTGGAGGGAGCAACATGTATATAGTCGTAGACTCGTAATTATGCATGCAGAGAGATTGTATTCGTGTTTTAAACCCATGACGCTTGCTTTATAATCGAGCAACTTACCACTATGATAAATTTAGAAAACAATATTAATGTTAAAACTTATGAAACTATATTACACAATCTTTTTTCATGCTCGAATTTCTGAATGCATGAAGCCTTAGTGTTTGCTATCTACTAGAGGTTACACTTTACAAGGCATGAAAACAACTAACTCGTGAGAATCTAATAATAGTCACTGTATTGATGTTAATGTGGAGTATGGATCAAGAATTGATTTTCAGAGCTCGCTTTTGGCGGGAGTTTGTGTCAAACCAAGCTTAAATGAAATTGAGCTCGGTATTTGCGTTTGAGTAGCACTTTTTTGACTTGTGTTTAAACTTTAGCATACTAAGCTCATAAGACTCGACTCAATTAACGCTCTTCAATAGAGTTGTTTTCCTCTTCGGGTCTTAAACCGCGACAGTGGAGTCATGTTTGGATGTAGTACCCAAGTTGTTCCCTTGTGAGCAGTACCTGGTTGGCAACAGTGCCCAACTCACTGCTCAATGCTGTGGCGGAGCACAAGCATTGGACAAACTTGCCAGCGCTTCACAAGCAGATAGGCAGGCTATTTGCAAGTGTTTGAAGAATGCCGCACAGCGTCTGCCTATCCTCCAAGATAGGGCCCAGCAAATCCCTCCACTGTGTCAACTCACTACTAATCTGAAGATTGATCCCAACATTGACTGCACCAAGTCTGCCTCTATCATGCTTTCACGATTATGATTTTATATTGGTTAAATATATGTAAGTTTAGGACAGTAATGGTGTATCAGACAGAATGTTGGGTAGCTAGAAAACAACGTAATTACAAAATGAATGTAACAGAAGTGAGAATGTTAAGGTGAATGTGTAGAAAAATTAGAAACGATAAAATACGAAATGATCGTATTAATGAAATGGTAGGAGTAGTTTCAATTGAGGACAAGTGAGAGAAAATAGATTAAAATGGTTTGGTTATGTTCAACGGAAGCCAATAGAAGTACCGGTTAGAAAAAGTGATATAATTTCTCTTAATAGTATGAAAAGTATAGGTAAACCTAAATTAACATTGAAAGAAATAATAAGAAAAAATATAAAAATTGTGCGTGGAGATTTTTGTACAATAAATGAATAGACAGATCTCTCCCCTAGTGAATACGAGTTTTACCTAGAAAATCGAAGGTCCTATGGCAAATAGATGTGAGAGATGGTATAAGGAGTGATGATGAATTATTTTTCTAGCAGTTCGAACAATCCTAGCATATCGAGATGAACTCTGTCAGACAAAAAGAGAGGTTAGAAGGGCGTCGGAGAGTTTTTCAGCATGACTCTTTGAACGATCAAGTCAGTATGTGAGAGAGGGAAGGAAAAGCGTTGTTCTATTACTTGGGTGAGATTTTGCATACCTTTGTTTCGAATTTGTGAGAGCTATTTATACCTCTAAAGAAGCAATCATTGCGAACAAGTGGGTCTCTTAGAGAGCAAGCCCCTCATTTGCCCATTTAGAAGGTGACTTGAGGAGCACAATTCTTGGGCCAAGTGTCTTCCTTGTCATGTGAAAAGAAGTCTCTACATTTAATGCTCAGATCTCCGAGCATTTAATGTTCTCCTTCCGGAGTCCGCCGATTAATGTGTCTAGTCCTTCTAAAGGGTCATTTAATATTTTCTTGTAATGGTTGCATATGGGTAGGGGCATATTTGTCCATTGACTCCCAGTTCTACGCTCTGCACCTCGTGTATCACTATTATTGGTCACTAACCTGCTCTTTCTGCCATTTTGACCGCCTTGGGAAGGGGAGTCAATGTTTATTGACCAATTTCGACTCCAAGTTATGATAACCGTCAATCCCGCCATTCATACCTTGTCGGCGTGGGAATTTTGGAGTCTAGGTGATGTGTTTGGTAGAGGATCTCAAGATGTTACGCATGCCGAGGACTCGTGTGGAGCGGTTGGGGCTCTGAGAATCCCCCGATGTCAATGACATGTGTCAATATGGAGTACGCTCTAAGGGGAATCATGTTGGGGACACGCGTCAGATGTAGGGAGCTCTGAGAGTCCCAAATGCCGCGTACACGTGTCAGACACACAGGGCTCTGAGGGTGAATGTGTTGAGGGCACGTGTCACTCACAAGAGGCCCTGAGAGGGACTGATGCCGAGAACGAGTGTCAGTCCATGGTGTGCCCACGTCACTTTGGTCAAAGACACGTGTCGACTCCTTGTTAATTTTCAGAATTGTCTCATAAAAAATACTTAACTTAAATGAGCGTATAATACATGATCAAAATGAATGGCAAAAACAGACTCATATAACCGACCCAATTGATTGAGACATAAGGTTTGGGTTAATTTAGTTTGTAAATATATATTAGCATAGATAGGAGTAAATAAATTTTTAGACATTCTTCCTTACAATTTAATTTTCAACATTGAGTTCTATCAATAAATTCAATTCAAATGTATTGTGTCACGTCAATTAAATCTAAGATCGTATTTAACCAAGTACACTCAATTTATGTACAAATCTAATATCATTTCATCTTATTGATTTTCGATGAACATTTTTCTCCATTTCTTCTTCATATGGTTATTTTTTCCCGACAAAAAAAATTTACATCTTTTCTAATACATTTTTTAATAATTTTTCATTATGGTAGATCACTCAAAGCATATTGATAAAATAAAACTTCCTTGAATTTATAGTGAATGATCTACCATTGAGAGAATTTGAAATAAATATACATACTAGAAGAAAATCAGAATTGCACGTGATGTTCATCTATCAATTAATGTGATCATTGTCTAGTCCAATCGTAAAATACTCGGGTTACTAAGGGTAAGATTGTTTGTTTGAACATAAAAACGATCCCATAGCTATATTTATACCTAGTCAACATCTCTCAACAACTTGATTAAAGGGAGGGTATTGATTAATGTCATTTTTATTCTGCTTTACATGGCATTTTCCTTCTTCTAATCTTTTCTAATTTATTTAATGTGCAGCATTTGATGGACTATTGAAATTCTTCAAGGGTGAAGATGGTTTGTTTGTGTGTGGAACAAACTTCATGGAAACAATGGTTGCAGAATAGTGTGAATGAAAAAACTTTCGTGTGGGCTTTCTTAAATTTATGAATGATAATGAAAGAAAACATATTCTCTTTCCAATCTTTTTCTTTTCCTTACTTCAATTCCCCCCTCCCCCTTCCCTGCTCCCCCGAGGGACAATTTCGCCATGTTTTGCTTTTGTTAGTGATTTATCCATCATGTTTGACTAATCTTATGGTGGTAAACACGTGATTCATTTATAGCAATTGGCAGTAGAGCAAGCCACCACGTTGAGTATGAGATCGAACCGAATATGAGCTTAGACTTTAATTTTGAAATTCACAATCGTTACCACCTTGAGAGGGAGTATTGAATATATAATGTTAAACATTGAGGCATGATTGAATGAAATTAAGATGAATAACAATGAAGATCAAATTACATCAATGGATTGAGAAGATCAAGAAATTAGTAGATAAAAGACATTCATGCATCAATTGAGGGAAGAGATCAAGAAATTTATATCAATCTATAATTTGGATTGATTGTAATCAAGAAAATTTATCAATAAAAGTAGTTGTTCTCATAAATCTATAATATAAAATAGAACAGATTTTAATAAGTCTATCTGACAGTTTTAAATAGACTCATCCAAGAGCCACTAATATCTTTTTCAAAACCATTCACATTGCACGGTGCCTTCAGGCATGAGTTACTCCTAATTTTATTTATAAAGTGTGACTAATAACCTAGCTAGTTCTAACAACACGAAAAACCAAAGTCAAGGTTCGATTTCTTATGCTCTCCTCCTTAGATTGTCATCTTTCGGGTTTTTATTCACTTTTAGTGGGTGTTTTCTCTTCTGTTTTGGATGAATTATTAAAAAATGAAAATAATTTATTACTAGGGTATGGTTTCAATTTAAATCATCCAAAAAAAAAAGTAATTTTGACAACTAAGTAAATTGCAACCATGATGCATTAAATGATGTTCAGGTAATCTTAAAAAGCTTCTGGTAATTAATTTAAGTTCACCTAATCATTGGACTGGAGATTAGGTGTGCGTAAATTGACTGNATGTTCAGGTAATCTTAAAAAGCTTCTGGTAATTAATTTAAGTTCACCTAATCATTGAACTGGAGATTAGTCAAGGTGTGCGTAAATTGACTGAGATATTCATCACTGTTAAACCAAAAAAAAGATAGTAATCACACTACAAGTAAAAATGATTTGAACCAAGTTGAAGTTCAGACTAGTATCGTCTAGTCATGAAAAATATATTTGGGATTGGCTTGAGAACATGATGAGATTTGGACATTGTGTCAAACCTCTGTGAAGAAAGACAAATTCTAAATTTCAGAAATTGCTTTCTTAAAATAGTAAAAAATAAATTTCCACTAGCTCAAGACTCACAACCGAAGTTGAAGAAGAACAAATAAATTAGAATATAGCTCCAAAAATGAGGGAAGAAAAAAGACTTTTATTATTACGAAGAAATCTAAGTTACAAGCTTACAATCAAAAAGTTACAAAAGGAAAAGTAGGAACAAGCAATGATAATTGTTGTTGTTGATTTGTTGTTTTGTTGGCTTGGTGATTTGGGGTGGTGGGGCATGGCAACTGAAAGTGCTCCTGGACCAGATGGTTTATCTAGTAAAATTTTCCAATTTGCATGAGAAGTTATTAAGTTGGATGTGTGGAATGCTGTGAATTACCTTTTAAAAGGAGGTGTGATGCCTACCTTACTGGTTTTGATTCCTAAGAAAGATAACCATGTTTCTTTCTCTGATTTCAGACCTATCAGTTTGTGTACTTTCTTATACAAGATTTTTACCAAACTGATTAATACCAAACTATCCACTCTTCTTCTTAGTTTGGTCTCTGATGAACAACATGGGTTTTTCAAAAGAAGAGGTATTGGTGATTGTGTAGCATTGGGGCAGTTGTTAGTTGGGGAATTGGATAGAAAAGTGGAGAGAGGTAACATGGTGTTGAAATTAGATATGATGAAAGCCTACGATAGGCTTGAATGAGATTTCCTGAAGGTGTTGAACTGTTTTGGGTTTTCAGCTCTCTATTATGTTGAATTGTTTATTTACTCAGTTTTTTTCAATTTGTTTAAATGGACAGAGGTTTGGTTATTTTTCGAATTCCAAAGGTCTAAGGTAGGGGATCCTCTCTCCCCTTCCTTATTCATCCTTGCTGAGGGAGTTCTGAGTAGAGATTTGGGGTGGTGGGGGGTCTATTTAGAGGTGACTAGAGAAGGGTGTAGAAGATCAATGTAGGTAGAAGTTTTGAAGATTTAAGAATTCTAACTTAATTGTGAGAAGGTGAATGTTCTAAATGTTGGTAGAAGGATACAAAGTACAAGCATGTTCTTCAAAATTCTAGATACAATAATTATCAAAAATTTACTTCAAACTTTTAACAAGCTCAACTAATTAATTTTTTGAATATACTTGGCCTCACCTCAACTCGACTCATTTGATTGAACGAATCAAGTCCAAATTTAAGTTCAAACTTAAACTCANCATTTGATTGAACGAATCAAGTCCAAAATTAAGTTCAAACTTAAACTCGTGTTGAAATGACTCATGGTCAAGATCAAACTCAACTCTAGAGTATGAAGCAATTTTGACAACTAATAAAATTGCAACTATGATGCATTAGATGATGTTCATGTAATCTTAAAATGCTTCTTGTAATTAATTTAAGTTCACCTAATTGAAAATCACATTAAATGAAGATTGCTACTAAACACACCATAAAGTGTTTCATAATCTTACTAGCTTAACCCCTTGATATTATGGTCCTCATAGGATTACAAATCCCCCACCACCAAAATCCTTGCTCATCCATGCACTATAAATAGGGTTGCATACTATAGGCACCTTCACTCCTAGAAAGTCCCTCTCTCTCTCTCTCCAAAGTTTGGATCAAAATGGCGAAAAAGATGACGGGTGGTGGCTTTGTTTGGGCGGCGGTGTTGGTGGTTTTGGCTCTGACCGCCACCTTTTCCACCACGGCAATAAAGTCTTGTGGTGTGGTGGTGAGGAAGTTTCAGCCATGTGAGCAGTTCCTGGTTGGTACCAGTTCTAAACCCACCTCTGAATGTTGCGCCGTAGCAGAAGCAGTAGACAACATTGCTGGTGCTTCACAAGCTGATTGGGCGGCTGTTTGCAAGTGTTTAAAGGCTGGGGCACAAAAGCTCAAGATCATCTCTGCTAAAGCACATATTATCCCCAGCTATGCCTGCTCAATACTAACATAACTATGGACCCCAATGTTGACTGCAATAATTAAGTATGTCTCTCTCATGCTTTCATGATAGTAATCACTGTCTTTTAATAGATCAAAGAGGGATTAGTTGAGGTACGTGTAAGTTGTTTCGGACAATTATGACTATTGAACCAAAAAAATAATAATAATCACACTACGGTTAAAAAATGATTTGAAGCGACTTGAAATTCAAAATAGTANTGTCTTTTAATAGATCAAAGAGGGATTAGTTGAGGTACGTGTAAGTTGTTTCGGACACTTATGACTATTGAACCAAAAAAATAATAATAATCACACTACGGTTAAAAAATGATTTGAAGCGCCTTGAAATTCAAAATAGTTNAGTTGAGGTACGTGTAAGTTGTTTCGGACACTTATGACTATTGAACCAAAAAAATAATAATAATCACACTACGGTTAAAAAATGATTTGAAGCGACTTGAAATTCAAAATAGTTTATCGTTTAGTCATGAAAAATATATTTGGGATTGACTCGAGAATGTTATGAGTTTTGAACGTTTGTCAAAGCTCAACTAGTTAATTTTTGGTCTATACTTGAGCTCACCTCAACTTAGACTCATTTGATTAAATGAATCAAGTTCAAAATTAAACTCAGCGTTANGAAATTCAAAATAGTTTATCGTTTAGTCATGAAAAATATATTTGGGATTGACTCGAGAATGTTATGAGTTTTGAACGTTTGTCAAAGCTCAACTAGTTAATTTTTGGTCTATACTTGAGCTCACCTCAACTTAGACTTATTTGATTAAATGAATCAAGTTCAAAATTAAACTCAGTGTTCAGACAATTCATGGTCAAAATCATACTCAACTCTTTTACACACACCTTGGTACACGAGCTTAACGAGTTCATTGTTTGGGCTCAACCATTTGTGCTTGTACTTGGTTTGTTAGATAAATAAATGAACTTGAACAAGTTTTTATCCAAGCCAATTCCGAACTATTCATAATTAGCTCGATTCATTTATAGCACTACACAATCCCCTAAATTTACATACTACTCAATACCAATACTATTCTTCCCATTGTAATCCTCCCAACTCACTAGATATATAGCAGACAAAACTGGTTAATGATTTTTTTTTCAAGTTTCAAAGTGTTGTTTTTCCCTTATTTTCCTATCATTCTTATTTTATACCATGTGCAGGATTTGATGACCGTTGGAAATTATCCGAGAAGTGAAGATGTTTGTTGGTTTCTTGTGGGATTTTCATATATTAATAAATGAAAATAAATTATTTATACTCCAACCTATTCCTATTTTTCAATTTCCTTACTGTTGAGGCACAAGAAGCAAGAAATATTCTAGCCGTTCATACCATTGTAGATAAAGTAGGATTTGAAGATTGTCTGCATCATTTTTGCAAAAGTTATCAACCCACAATTATGTTAAGGTATCACCGTGTCCACGTCAGTTGGTGATGAGGGGACTTGGGTCATATAAGGGAACAGATCACTCCACCTAATAGGTGCGCATTTTGGGCTGAAAACTCGTGCCCAACAAGTGGTATCAATCCCACATCGATTGATGATGAAAAAGTTTTGGACCATATAAAGGAGCAGGTCACTCTACCTACTACGTGCGCCTTTTAAGCTGAAAACCCATGCCCAACAAATTATGAAGTGTTTAGGCTTCCACTTGCCAAAGGATGTTGGAATTACTCTGATTAGAAAAGACCTTTGATATTATTTCAATGGATGCAAGAGTGGATAGAAATACAAGGAAGTAAAGGAAGATTTAAACACCCAAACTAAAATGATTTTCATCCAAGTGAATTACAAATTTACAATCATACTCCAGATAGACCCCTCTTCAACTCAACTGTATTTGCCTAAAACACTAGATTACATATGCTGTAACTCCTCAATAAGATAGCATATCAAGTTTATTTTCCAACAACGAAAGCTTACACATAGAAAGAGAGAGAAAACGATTTCGTGTAAAATGCATCAATTGTATGCGGATGTTTTAGTGAAAGGAAAATGCTATTCCATATAGCATCGCTCTGAATGAAATTAATATAGTTTTTGACAGTTCACAATGCAAAGCCAAAAGAGCCATGAGGCTCATGACTCCATACAGTTCTAGAAATTCTTGGATGGAGTGCATCTCAAATTCAATAACCATTATTGCAAAAGGATGAAGAACTATACAATGCAGAATTAACATGTAGAAGATTTATACAAACAAGAATATCTCTCTCTCATACGCACACTCAAAAACACAGGTAGAGAGAAGTTCATGAAATACCAATCGTCTTGTTGAGTATCCACAGTGTTAGAGACATCTGAATGGCAAATATTGTATGGAGCGAACTCCTATCCAGCATGAAGCCATACACTGTAATTCCCGCTCTATTATTCTCGAAGTATGACACTGCAAATATTTCACCCTTATTACTTTTGTGCATAAATAACTCATCATTATGGTGCAAAGTACTAAAACTCTATTACTGAGGAGTTACTTTTTGATTTGGAGATTTATTTTCTTGTCCCGCACCAAAAATTAATAGAAAATGAGAGTGAGGTTACTATGAAATGAAATTCGATCTCAACTTTTAAGGATTAATCCCAATTTTTCCCCCCAAAATGTCACTTAACCCCAGGGTGAGTGACGTTTTGGAGTTGAAAATTGCCCTTAAATGAGTTGCCTTTATTTACTCATAGAGTTGGGTACAGTATCTTATAGTCTTGCACAAAGAACCACATACAATTTGATAGAACTCACCTAGTGCTTGTCTCTTCTGGTAGGAGATCGTATGGGCATGAATTGGCACCATATTTGTGTTATCAAGCTCATCCTCTGCATCTCCTTCATCGTTGTCCGATTCCCAATGGGCATTGACAGGAAATACTTGCTGGGATGAATTTATCTGATTTTTTGGTGTCTCGTCATCTAAATCATCAAAGGTGTTGATTGTAGCACATGCATGCCATTTGGCCGCAAGGCATGTAATGGACTGTGCTCTATGTGTGATCTTTGCAGCACTGCGCAGGCAAATGAAGAGACCAGTCACCAGGGTGATTGAGCATAACTGCACCACAACAAGAAATTAATTTAAAAAAAAAAAAAAGCAGCAGTTACACAAGGTAAAGCTGTGATGATTCAATTCCTCAATTGCATGGTCAATATGTGTGGGGTGCTCGATAAATTTGAGTTTTTACCTTCATTGTAGAATGTGTATTAAAGTTATGTGGGTCTATCTCAAAGCGTTCAAAATTGTACAATGATGATTCGGTACATCATTAATGATATCAGTCACTGATCCTTGTTGTATGGATGCACCATAATCTATGGAACCTTGTCCGTCACAGTAGTCGTTCGGGAAAGTGACAGCTAGAGCGATGGGGTCATCTTCCGAAGACCCACGTTACACTAGCTGGAACGGATCCAAACGAAGAAGTGGGTGGATTGTGACGACCCAATCCCACATCACTTAGGGAAGACCTACGTTGAACATTGTGTACTAAAATCCAATGGATCTTGTCCGAAGTAAACAAGAACAGCAAAGAGGTGGGAATGAAGAATTACCGCTAGATCTCCAGCTGTGAAGATATTGACCATAGAGCCAGTCTCAGTTGTAACAAGAAGTGAAGTGAACTGACTTGCTGTAACTAAGATCACCGTCAACAATATAAACAGTCTGAATCGATGACTGATGATCTTGAGATTCCTTCTGATCGAAAGGTGTTCTTTCAAGATTGAATCCACATCAGACTCCCTTTCAAAAACCTTAGAAAAATCTTCAAGTCTGAGTATCTGCAGATAGCAAATAAGCCGGAAGAGCACACACACCAGGAAGAAAATTGATGTCCTATACAGCCATGAACACATCAGCAATGTGCAGGCAATGGTGTTGCTCAAATAGATGTTACCAAAGTAGGGTATTTGGGTTCCACCTGAGATGAACCACCAAATTTTGTATGCACCATCGGCTACAAAACAGGGAAGGACAAAAGCAGACAGGAGCTTCAATGATCTCTGCATAAATAAGACAAGGTTAGTTAAGCTTGTCATGTGTATCCAAGAACTGATCTATATATTGATTTCATTTGAAGTATGACCAAATCATTCGAGATTTTTCTGCTTGAAAAATTTCACATGAATTTTTTTTTTTTCTGATTTTCACAATACTGTCTAAGACCACAGTTGTGATTTGAATTTTTCTCCTAACACAAAAACCTACCCAATGATCAAAATTTTATTTCGGTGAACTTGAAAAAAAACCATTTCGATAATGTTTCGAAAACAAGATGGAAATAAAGAAAAAATTTGAAAATTTATTTCCAAAATATTGGTCAAAACAATCGAAAAATTCCCAAACATAGGACGAAACACACAGAAACACCTTGAAACATAGGAATTTTAATATTCAATTAATAATTCATTTTAATTTTCATGAAAACGAAAACATTTTGGACTTTTTCAACACGAAATTTAATTCATTGGCTAAATTTAACCTCATAAAGGATTGTACTGTACACTTGTATTCGTATCATATGAGGTACCAAATCGTTTTAGATCCAAATAAAATTGGTTGGAAGTATGTCTCTCAATCATATGACATATGTTTGTGTTTGAAGACTTTTTTGCAAGAAAAATGAGTGGTTTGTGACTTGTGAGAGTCGAAAGGTAAGCAAGGTCCCTGTGATAGCTTTTAATACAATTTTTTTTTTTTGGTTGGAAAGAAAAGTCGCTTTTGCTTCCTTTTCTGTCTAAAAACTGTACCAAGATACCAGTTTGGCCAATTGTGGTTACATCAGCAGACTAATTTTCAAGCAAGACAATCTACTCTCTAGAATCTGATGTAAGAGCCTTAATTTTCTAGGTTTTGATGTTGTTGTATTGGGTCCTATGAATAGCTTTGGTAATTATTCACACACAACATTGATACGAAATCACGAAGTATGAATATCGGCTCATATTAAGGTTTGACGAATTAAATCCGTTTACTAAATAGGTTTGTACGAATCGATTGACATGATACTATTTAGTTACAACACTAATGGTAGTCTACTTATAGGACACTGCCAAAACCTATGGGTCACCTTATGAAGTGGGTTCAAACACTCGGGTCAAAAACATCCAAAAAAAAAAGAGGGTAAATCGCATCACTGCCCCTAGAATTATGACTTTTGTTTCAAATTGTCCCTTGAACTTTCAATTGTCTCAATTTTTTCCATGAACTATATAATTTGTTTCAATCAAACTCCTTCCATTAAGATTAACAAATAAATGAGATAGATTTTATTGAGATTAACTGTTAATGAGAAAGATTTTGTTATGATTAAAGGGTCGATTGAAATAAATTACATAGTTTAGAGAAAAATTTAAGACAATTGAAAGCTCACGGGCAATTTAAAACAAATATCATAGTTCAGATGGCATTTATGAGATTTACTCAAAGAAAAACATATGTTGCTGTACAGTAAAAATCCACTGGAACGAAAAATATGAAAAAAAATTAAAAAAAAAAAAAGGGGGAAAGGGAATGATGATAACGTATAAAGCAGAATACCAAATAGAAAAAACATCAACATCACTTTCCCAAAAAGAGTCATATATATAGGAAACTGCTCTGTCTGCCCCTCTCAAACGAAAAACAGGGGAGAACAATTTTCCCAAGTTAGAGCAAGAGTGTAGGATTTGGTTGGACCATTCATTTACAGAGAATATATATAAACAACAAAATTACCCAACAGCCAATTGTCTTCCTAATAGACGGATAACAACAAATTGTAACTAATAGAGTAGTGGATTGGACTCAAATTCTATCTTGTACACTTAATTCAATTTATACTTATCATGAATCATCGATTGTTATTCACAAAATTCTCATTACAATCCCAAAAGTAGCGCAATGACGTGTAAATATAGGAAATTGTTTGAGTCAAACCATAAGTGATTTATCTTTATAAATACTCTAATTCTTATGTAAATGTTGTCTTTGATCGAATTGAGAACGAGATTAGTCGAGGAGACCAAACAATGACCGTTCAAACAAAAAAACAAAATTCCCATAGCAAATCCCTTTTCTCAAACTTATTCTATGATTATAGACTTTTTATTGATCAAGAAAGGGTAATGACCTCCAACAAACTTCATATCAAACAAAAATGAATTCCAACAAACTTTATTTGAATTTATGCTTTTATCTTGGCCAACAAAAGAGCTTCAAAATTAGCAAGCACTCAATAAATCACATAATATCAGAACGAAATTCAATTATAGATCAAGAATCAGTAAACCAGACACAAGGAAGGGGGGAGAGAGAAACATACATGGAGCTGATCTGTGTATCCCTGGTGAACCTTGTCGCTCACATCAAACAATTTGTCAAGGAACAGAAACCTCCGAACTCCATACCTCCGAGCAAAGCAAGAGAGACTGACGAACGAAAGTGTAGCGAATATTGAAAGAGACAATTGAACAATCGCATCGAAAGGCCGACGATGCACCTGATCACAGCTCGAGCAAGAAAACACGAAGTGTGAAACCAAAGGAACGCCAATGGTGAGAAGAAAGAAGATCGACCATGAGAGACCAGCCCTCCATAGGTTTGATTGATCGAGAAACATCCATGTGAGACCTGATCTGAAACGCTTCAATTCACCTTCTCCTTCGTGGGTTTGGTAGTCTGACGACATTGATTTGTTCATTGGAACGAGAATCTCTCTTTCATCTTCTTCCATGGATTTGGGTACTTTTGTCCTCCTTCTTCACAGATAGGATCCTGACCCACATATTTATACGAAGCCAGAATCAATGAATGATGGACACGAAATTTTTTGAAATATTGAAGTTGACTTGCTCTCGTGAATAATATGAGAGGGAAAGTGAAGATGGAACACGATTGGGGAGTGGTGGGAGACTAGGCCACGCTTGTTTGGAGACCGTGAATTGGACGTCCACAAGAAAGTGTTGACATACGACTCTTGATTGTGTAATTTTTGTATCATACTTAGTCGGGTTTGTATTTATTTATTAGGGGTAAGTTATATTTGAAGGAATCGTATAACGCAAATCAATGTGAATAATTTTGAGAGGGATATCGGTGGCCGTTAAATAAGTCTATTTGAGACCGTCAAATCATAAATTAGCGACAATCATATGCGATGTACAACTCATCTCCTTCTATTACCCTTTCCCTATTATCTCCTCTCTTTTGCTTTGTTTTTTAAGGAGTAAATAAGTATAAAATAAATAATAATAACAAATTTGGGGTGTTAAAAAATAATTTAAAATAAAATAAATGAAGAGTTATTAGTTAATGGAGGGATGATTATGACACATGCTATGGAAAGTTTTAAATAAAAAAAAAGTTTAAAGGAGGAGTTATAATTGATAGATGGGTGATTATGCCATATGGTAAAAATTTTGGGGTCGTTTGGTTACAATATTAAGGGGTGTATTAAGGAGTCATAACGAATTAAAACTCTCTAATCCAATTTTATATTGTATTGGTTGCAAAAAATATTTCGTATCACATATAATCGTATTTCAAATGCTTATCAAAATAATACATTTTATTCGTATTTTTGAGCCAATTATAATACTACATAGGTAGGTAGTATTATAGTCTAATTCAAGTGTATTAATTTATAAATTTACTATTTTACCCACCAAATAAACAAAAACAATAATAACCAAACAATACTAATAATTTTTTTGTCAATATGTAATTAATATTCTATTATTTCACCTTTATCCGGTAATGAGTATTAAATTTTTCTCATATTTAATTTTATATTTTATCCGCTTATACATAAGTAGTTTGTATTAACTAATACAATTTATTTATTTTTTAAATATAGAACAATCAAACAAGCCATTTTTTTATTTTTTTTTAAGGGGTGGGGGTAACGAAGAGTGCCCAACCAGCGACCACCCCGATAGCCCCTCACTGGTGGGATCATAAAGTCCCTGACCGCAGTTGGAACACCTCTCGGAAAACAAGTCATTTAGATACTAAACGAATATATCTAGAAATGAGGAGAGGCTTTCATTCTACCAATCCTATTTTTAAGATTTTTTTGAATAATTTAATCTGTATAATCTTATGCGGCTTCCTATTATTGGATTCTTTTAATATTTTCTTAACAACTTAACCTTTTATTTGGATAAGTTCTCCTAACTTGTTATTCAAATAATTGTTTATGTAACCGATGAATGGATAACTTTACATTCAAAATACAAAATATGTAACCTCCACTCCACTGCTATGTTTCTGAATTAGTGGAGGTTTGGATTTTTATTATTTTTTTCAATCAAGAAGTTAGGGGTTGACATGGTGGAGTTTTATGGGTGATTTTTTTTTGATCAGGTAAGGGGTGGTTATTGAGGGAGGTGGTTTTGTGAGGAAAGGAAATGACAGGTGGATTATTGAGAAGAGACAATCTGGTGGGCCATTGGTGAGGTGCATGTTTCTCGTTACTGCAAAAATTTTAATCGTTTTAGTANTAGGGGTTGACATGGTGGAGTTTTATGGGTGATTTTTTTTTGATCAGGTAAGGGGTGATTATTGAGGGAGGTGGTTTTGTGAGGAAAGGAAATGACAGGTGGTTTATTGAGAAGAGACAATCTGGTGGGCCATTGGTGAGGTGCATGTTTCTCGTTACTGCAAAAATTTTAAACGTTTTAGTGGATGTATTATCATATTAGGAAAGAATTAAATATTAGATTGTATTATTTTTTATTTAATAGAGTCTAATATTTTATTTGATAAATAAATTTAATATCGTATTAATTTAAAAAACGTATATTTATCGTATATTTTTTATATAATAGACCTATATTATAGAAATATTTTAATACCACTAAGAGATGTGGTATTATAATTNTTATTTAATAGAGTCTAATATTTTATTTGATAAATAAATTTAATATCGTATTAATTTAAAAAACGTATATTTATCGTATATTTTTTATATAATAGACCTGTATTATAGAAATATTTTAATACCACTAAGAGAGGTGGTATTATAATCCAATTCAAACGTATTATTCTACATAGTTACTATTATAACCCCTCTAACAGATAAAATTAAGTTGTCATCAATGTAACAAACAGTAATAGATGATATTTTTGTTAATTCAACATTAATACGATAAAATAATTTCCTAATCAAACAACAGATTTGATTAAATAACTATTATCTAATGTTTATGTTGTGTATTGTCAAACACTAGATAAAATTACGTATTATTATAATATCCTATATAATCTTTTTTTTTATCATGATGTACTGTATTGTATTAGACTGAATTATTTTATATAATCCATCAATTTCTAATACGGCAACCAAATGAGNATTATCTAATGTTTATGTTGTGTATTGTCAAACACTAGATAAAATTACGTATTATTATAATATCCTATATAATCTTGTTTTTTATCATGCTGTATTGTATTAGACTGAATTATTTTATATAACCTATCAATTTCTAATACGGCAACCAAATGAGTCATTTGTGTATTGCATGGGGGTACCACTAGTGTAATTGAATTGAAAGTATTAAAATAAATTTAAATTTTAAGATTTGAGAGAAAAGGTCTACGAAGGTCTCTTTCACCTAATTGGTTTGCTATATAATATAGTATGAGCAATGTTATAAAATTTAAATGAATTTCAAAAAATTATAACTCAAATACATATTATCTATTAGAATAATATATCTCATCAATTTTTTCAGTGAGATTCACTTATTTCATACTCATTTAAGGGATGATATACAATTAAATTTAAATTTTTAAGTTTCATTTGAGTTATATAACATTTTTCATATAGTATAAACTAGCAGTCAGCTCCGTGAGATGCNGTAATTGAATTGAAAGTATTAAAATAAATTTAAATTTTAAGATTTGAGAGAAAAGGTGTACGAAGGTCTCATCCACCTAAGTTTGCTATATAATATAGTATGCAGCAATGTTATAAAATTTAAATGAATTTCAAAAAATTATAACTCAAATACATATTATCTATTAGAAGAATATATCTCATCAATTTTTTCAGTGAGATTCACTTATTTCATACTCATTCAAGGGATGATATACAATTAAATTTAAATTTTTAAGTTTTATTTGGGTTATATAACATTTTTCATATAGTATAAACTAGCAGTCAGCTCCGTGAGATGCACGAATTATTCTCCTTGTCTCTTTTTAACTTTTTCTTTTGATTCGGTCTCTTGAAAAGCCAAATAAAATATTATAGAAAATGTTTTGGCTCACAAAAAATAATATTTGTAAATAGATTTTAAAACATAGTTGTTAGTTATAGAAGAATTGAAAGGTGGTTAGAAATTATATACGGTAGGAAATGATTGGAGGGAGCCTTAAGATTTAAATTAAAACATTAAAAATTCTAAAAATTTAGATAATGGGAAGGAAAAAACTACTCAAAGGTCTCTCCTTCCTAATTTAATTGTTTCACATATAGATAGATTTTATTGTATGTGGGATTCAGTTCCGTAATGGCGCGTGGAACTAGCAGTTGGGATCCGAAAAGGTCAAAGCACGGGGCTCCAGGTGTAGTACAGTGATATCTGAGGTGGTTTCTAAATTGGGCCTCCTTCACACGTGTCCGGTCTTATGTTAATCAGACCTGTGAGTCTGTCACTCTCAAAACAATCAATAAGGCCACTAATTTTTGGATCGTGTAATAATTGCACGTTAGTATTATTATATAATAGTTGTTTAATAATATATAAATAAATAAAATTTTACATTTTTATTTAAGATAATAATTAATTTATATAAAAAATAAAATTATCTTATTTATTAATTTATTAGTTATTTTACGTACCTGAAGCCATGGAATAATAAAAAAAAATCAATAATAAATAAATTTGTATTCACACTCTAAATCAAATTACAAATATAAAATAAAGAGAAATAAATTTAAGCACCAATTATAGCGGGAACAAGTGGTGGTAGTGGTGATGGAAGACGATAATGGTTATGGTGGGTGACAACAGCCATTACTGATGGTGATAGTCGTGAGATGACAAGAGTAATAGTGGTGGTGGTGGTGATGATGACAATAGTAATAAATATAAGAATAAGATGACGATAGTGATGAGTAGTGACAGTTAGAGGGGTGAGGGTGATGAGGATGATGGTGGTAGTGGCAGACAATGATATGGTGATAGGATAGCAGCAACGGTGGTGGTGATAGTGGGGGTGGTGGTGGTGGTGGTAGGGCAGTGGGGGGTGGTAAAGTGATGACATGGTGGTGGCGGTGGTGATGATTTTTGTGGAAGAAATGGTGGTGGAAGGGTGGCATAACGGTGGTGGTGGGGTGGCGACAGAGGTGATAGCGGCTGGTATAACAAAGAGTGGTTAGGAGATGGCAATGATGACGATGGTGATAATGATAGTGATGGGAGCGGTGGTGGTGGTGTTAGTCGTGGTGGTAGTGCTAATGGTGGTGGAGAGGTAGGGGTGGTGGTACTAGGATAGTTTCAAACGCCACTTTTTTAAAAAAAAAAATACTTATGAGAAATTATAAGTTTTATAAGTACTTTTAAAAAATTATNATGGTGGTGGAGAGGTAGGGGTGGTGGTACTAGGATAGTTTCAAACGCCACTTTTTTTAAAAAAAAAAATACTTATGAGAAATTATAAGTTTTATAAGTACTTTTAAAAAATTATTTCAAACAAACCCTTAGAATCCTATTTTTTTTTATTAAATTTGGGGTATTAATATTAATCGTCAGACTAACTTTAAAATAA